GATATGGAGAAGGTAACATCTAAGATACTACGGATCCGAAATGTTAGGACTGACAGTATTCTTGTATTCCAAATTATCTTTAAAATTGTAGATCCTCAGTACATCCACTTCAGCTCTATCCTCGACAAAGCTGGCGAACGAGTTCGAACGCGCGGTGCTACAACTACACAAGCAGATTCTCGATATGGTGGCAGAATGTTTGATTTTCGTGGGGTTAAAACATGGAGAAGTTTCCGGCAAGTCGATGGGGACAACGAATGCTGAATTTCTTGATTTCCTGGAAGCACAGTCCAAAACTCAAGTGAAAATACTCGAAGTCGAAGTACGTGCTGGTCAGGAACTACTCCGGTTGCACAAGACGCAGTACGAAAAAGAACGGGTAGAGGTGCGTAGGTCCATGTTAAAAATTACGTTGAAGATACTGAAGTTTATTGTTTTATTAAGTTCGAAGAAGAAATTACCGCACTGCGTGTGGGTCGTACGGAGGCAGAACGACTGTGTGCCGAGCTTCGCACTGATCTCCGGAAATGTCGAAGTGAATTGGCATGTCATGTTGCAAACGCAACAGATATTCAGAGGTAAATCTGAGCGTCATAGTGTGACGAATATCTTTTGTTTATAACAATATTTCATTGTACAGACAAAAGAGCGTACTGGAAGAAAAACTTGCTAGAAGCGAGGACAAGATGCACGCTAAAGAAGTTGCGCTAGTAAAACTTCAAGTGGAATACGACAACATGCATCGTGTCGCGGCTGAAGCCCAGATGCGAGCGGAGAAACTTAAACAAGGCGACAACGAGGATAGTGTGGATTACTCCAACCAAGATGACCATGATTCCTCATTACCAAAAGCCAACAAGAAGTTTACAAGTATTCGCACCAATGAAAGCCTTCCACACACCTCCAAGCTCTTCTCCAAGCTATCCCAGCAACCTATTGAAAAGAGTGTAGAGGAGGAATCAGTTCCACAAGCTGAAGCTAAGCTTGAAACTTCAACTTCATCGCGATCTTCAAACGTTGCTGCGTTGGAGGCAATGAAGCAGCAAATGGCACGCGAAATTCAAGAACAAATTGCTGCCACGAGGTAAGTGTTTGCTTTGTTTTGCTGAAAGGTGTATCCATCCAGCTTCCGTCGTTCTTTCAACTAAATCGTTTTAACCTGTCAGGGCGTCGTTGAGAGAAATGGAGATTTGCAGCTCAAGTGGCAAAACATTGCAGGAAGAAGAAGACGAGTTACGACAGCTGCAGCAACAGTTAGCAGCAAGGTCGGCCGAAATGGATACAGCGATGAACGAATCCAGAACCAAACTGAAAGAATTGCTTGATCCAGCCACAGCCTCATCTTTTCGCAATGATGAAGCTAACTTTGATGAGATGGGGTCTGACCACAAACCAACGATCTTTGACTCGACTACGCTAGTAAATGAACTTATTGCTCGAGCAGAGAAAACAGCAGCGGGTACGTCGCAGTACGTGGATGATTACTCTTCCAGTCCGACATTACAAAGCCCATTCGCTGGTATTGGCAGCCAGCATCTCACTCATTACCATCGACCGGCTCAAAGTGTTCTCTACAAAAAGTGGACAGCTGATCGATCTCGCAAAATGGCTCAGCTTGCAAGCTACCGCGATGAGCATGCAGTGCGTCGGGCCCAACGGTCAATGCAGACATTTCAGCAAGCCTTAGCAGAAGTACAGGGGAAACTCTAGAAACAGCACACGCGACATTGAGATGATGCAGGAGTGAGATATCAAGAAAATTTGAGCACAATATCCTTTACCAGAGCACTTCGAGGACGTTCCACTTGTACTCAGTAACCTCGTCGTGAAGAACTACCTAGTTGGGTGTTGCTTGACATTCTTTCAGCTTACGCTGATAGGTAAGGTAAAAGGATGGATACGTGACTGACATGTAAAACGATTTGGCCCTCCTGTCAGTTTTGATCATTTTATTAGTTGGTACAGCTGAAGTCACACACGAAAATCCAATGGTAAAGGGAAAAATGTAATGTCTACTCCCTAGCTCTAAAGGTTCGTATCAAAGGCATTGAACCAGTCGCACAGGAGGCTGCATGAAGGATCAAAGCTTTAGGTGGTGGTGCATACTTTTTACTACTGCCAAAAAAACCCGGGGAAGTTGCAAATGAATGCGTTTACAGAGTTGAAATATCATTGAAATGCCGCCAATTATTCTACGAGCATATGGAGGAACTTTGGGAGGCACATTTACAAACTCTAAGGGCATACGTGGCTCTGTTCACTGCCATAATGCAGAGTTCTAGTTTTGGAAAGAGTTGACTAGTGTACCAATTTACGAAAGTCACAAGCAACATTATCGACGCAGAAGGGGAGATGAGACTTTTATATGTGTGCGTGGGCGATCAAGCATCCTCTGGTTTTCCTCGACCGACATTAAACCTTCAGCGATGCTTATTTGCACCATGACAAAACGAAAATCAGCTTGTCGAAAAACTAATAACAATTTACCAATATGCAGAAGCGAACTGGGAAACGGTTGGAGATGAATGGCTTAATCTTTTCACAAAGGAGACGGCGGATAACACTGTGGTAGACAATTTGAAACGCTGGTCAGAAATTATATGAAACAGCGTATGGAGCGGTCAACACGTAAGACGAGCTCGAAGCGAGTGGTTAGCTTGGCTTTGGACGAGGCAACAACGCTATTTGAGATGAAAATAGGAGAAATCGATTACTTTCGTCTACTTTGCAAAGCACTTGTCAATTCATTTAATCGCATCTCATTTGGTAGTGGCATTTTTGCAGTTTTGGTTAACACGACTTCCAGAAAATCCGGTCTGGAACAACCTCCGATCCTTGATTCGTCATCTCGCAGTCACCAAGCAACGCCGACATCACTGCTCCCGCTGTTTGTGCTTCGCTCACAATGGATTCATATTGGCGTTCTGTATTGAATAGTCACGGTGGAAGCTCAGAGGTGGACGGGGGCGGAATATCGATAAGTGCGTACAAAGCTGCTGTGAAGGAGAAACACGAGAGGCAGATATGGAATACTCTTGTCGGAGTGGGCCGTCCACTGTGGCCCAGCACTTTTCGAGCTGCAATGGGAGAATATGACATTACCGAATCTAAAGAAATGGTGCAGATTGTTATGGGAAGATTTTACGAGCTTCTATTGAAGCTGTAATTACTGTGACTGCAAATAAGTTACTGCTGGGATCAGACGCAGGTGTAGCGGAGAGATACAACGAAGGCTCAAGGATTGGTGCCACGTCGATGATGTGTCGACTGGGAGTGCGTGCTTGCCCCACATCCACCATGCCATCTCGATCGTCACCGTTATGGCTGCTCTTGCATTCTAGAACTATAAGGGAAACGGTCTACTATGCTGCTCAACTTCCGATTCTTGCCATGGGGGGCGGCACGAGTTTGGTACAGTCATCCAAATGGACCCGCGGATTACAGGAGATGCTGCTAAACAAGAGTTTTGATACAGGTGGTGTCGGCGAGGTGATTGGTGATGGACTCGACTATTGTGATGGAAAGCGAGGAAAGAGATGGTGAAGAGAAGTTGTACAATAGATTCCCGTTCACGGGTCAGTTTGTATGTGTGTCTACTTTCCTTGAACTGGAAGTGAGAAAAGAAAATAGAGTAAAAGCTCGAATACAATTTAGGGATGGGAAACAAAATGGAGATCGCGGAAAATGGGTTCTGTCATTTTTTGCAGCTGGGAAAAGTACCCACCGAGGACACTGTGTAGTTTTTGTTAGCTCGGCGGGCGTCCGGTGTGTTGCCACACGACCACGAAGGAGCAAACTTGATGATTCCAATTTTATGTGACCCGATTATGGAAGAGATGGACCCTATATTGTCAATGGTTTTAGTCCAGATTAAAAATGTGGTTAGCGGTGATAAGTGTTGTGGCGGTTCTGCTGTGGAAAATGAACCCGAAATACGTGTTTTCAGAACACAACCCATTAAGTCAGGCCCCACCCCCCACCGACATGGTCCGCGTCTACATGAGTCTACGAAGTGATCGCGAATACGATGCAAGGAATCACTTCGTGTATTCGTATTTGGAGTCACTGAGAAGAAAAACAATGAAGGCTTACAAGCGGGATCAACATCCTCTCCATCGATTGAGAACTTCGAATCGCCTCCCAAAAGAAAGCAAGATTCAATGCCGACTCACTCGAGCACACCACTAGGAACATGGAAAAACAGATATCGACAGCAAACTCGCAGATATTCTCTGCAGAGTCAGCAAACACTTTTTGCATAGACGCCTTGAGACGGGCAATGGTAGTGCTTGATCCTACCGATGAGTGACCCCATCGAGTAGTAGCTCATTAACGACGTGCACTATGCTCGAGTGGCAGGATTGGATGCTTATGATGTCAAGACTAACGACAACGCTTTCGTGCTTTGGTGGCACGACTTGAAGGAGTCGACGCTGTACGTCAGTCGAGCTCGATTCCCAGATTCCGGTGAAAATGCTGCTGCGACTACGCGTGTTTTGCTGAACGCGGCACTGCAAGAAGCACGCAAGTTCAAGCTGAAGAAGGTCGTGGTCTGGGACCCGCCGTCTGGTTTGGTGCGCGACGAAATACGCCGTCTCCTTGAGATTGAGGTTGCAGAGCGCAAACTTTCTCTGTCGAGTGCTACGGTGTTTCGCCGTGGGGACACTCAAGAGGCAACGACAGCTCTGCCTCTCTGGTTCTGCAACGAGAAGTATGCTTGGGTCTAAGCGCAATTAATAGTAAGTATGTTGGTTGTGGATCCTGCAGCTACGAGAAAGGGGCAAGGTACGACCAACTAATTCCTTTGTCACTTTACTGTTGCTCAAAACTGAGAAAATGTTCATGACTCAATTCACATTTGTCTGTTTTGGTGATGATGTTAATTTGTTGCGTGTCTGACTGCAACACATTGTTACACTGTGGCTCTAACATTTCATTTTACAGCTGATTCTGCACCAGAATCAGATTGTGCAAGTCAATTGTTAGAAGCAACTTGAACTCCATCGTCGACCTCCCAATTACTCAGCTGACCGGGTAGTGCTTCAGTTGCAAAGCTCCAGTTGATCGTCAAGCATTGACGCAAGTTGATCTACGATCGCTAGTGGCAGCTCGCTACTGCGGCACCTCATGGCCATTGATAGCTCCCCTCGAGAAAGCAAGCCATGACTCGTTCCTTCTCAAACCTCACTTGTCATTTCGACATCTCATCCGCAACCAAGGTCATCAGTAACCGACTACGACTTGGACGAGCATGAAGATTTCTGCGTCAGCTTTCATTGGGCTTAGTGCAGTTCTTCATCATCTGCACTTCTCTGCAGTTGCTGGTCAAGCCATCGACAAGAACGGCAGCTCCAGCTTCAGCAATGATTCACCCGTTGTGGCACCCACGTTTGCGCCTGTGGTGAACAACACCGAACCGGACGCAGGAGATGTCGGCTTCACCAACTCCTCGGCATCAAATCCTGA